TTTCTATTTTTTGTAAAAGCTGCAAGTTGCCAGAAGAGGAAATACTTAGGTATGGGAGAAGGAAATACTTAGGCAGCTGCTAATTTGAAGTAATAATGATCATAAAGGGTACAGTAAAATTGAACTTTGTGTAAGCTCAAACTCTAGAAAGGTAAGATTAGAATAAGAACAGCCAGTTCCTTTGTGTCCAATAGTTCCACTTTTTCACAATAAATATGTACTTGCTTACTTAATTTGAATGGGTAGAGCATATGGTGCAAATATGTGATGCACAAAAGCTCTTAGGGGTCAATGTTTTTGTGTTGCGGACATATTTCCACATTGAAAACTCACCAGAAACATTTTGGAGACATTTCCATAATTAAATAGGTTTCTAGGCGCATTTTCTAAAAATAAATGCATTTCAGGGGTCTAATTGAAAAAGAAAAAAGGTCAAAAGAAATGCGGATTCTTATTCCTTACGCCAGCCCCTATATACTCTGGTCTATATATCCCAATAGTGTATGCACTTTTAATTATGGAACCAGTTGACAGTTAATATTTATGCATATTTAAAAAATATTTGCAAATATACCCCTATATATATATATATATATATATATATATATATATATATATATATATATATATAGGGAATGGTTCAGGTGCGGGGAAGGGTTCCCGTGCGATTGTGCGAAGGATGCACCTTAAGCATTAAAATGGCGCACCTTAAGTATACAAACCACACACTTAAGGTTTTAAAATGGTTCACCTTAAGTTTCACACAACTCACGCACCTTAAGGATACAAATCACGCACCTTAAGAAGAAAACCCACGCACCTTAAATTTTAACAACTACTCACATTAAGCACAAAACCCACGCACCTTAAGCACAAAACTCACGCACCTTAAGTTTCAACAACTACTCACATTAAGTACACAACCACGCACCTTAAGCACATACCCAAGCACCTTAAATTTGACCTAGATACAAAAATTACCAAATTGCCACCGTGTTTTTTTTTTTTTTTTTTTTTTTTTTAAATTTGGTAATCCTGGACGTTGATTTAAACAAAATCAATGGCTCTCCTCTCACCGCACAACCGCACCTGGACGCACCAACCGCATTTGAACCTAATTCTATATATATATATATATATATATATATATATATATATATATATATATATATATATATATATATATATATATATATATATATTTGCATGTTTCCCTTACGCTTTGTATTCTACATTTTTAAAATTGCCATTTCCCATTTTCCCCATATACCGTGCCTCATTTCCCGTTTCTATGCTACCTATGTGCAAATTGAATAATTTATTATTTGGAGAGAAGCAGGTATAACCATAGAGTTAATTTTACTTTTGCAAGCACCTCATACTTTTCAAGTACAGATTATTCCATTCAAGAGATTTGATACTGCAGCGAACAGATTTCTGTTCATTACTAATGCTTGCTTCTTGGCTCCTTCCCAAAATTATGCAAATTGGCCAGAGCAAAGGTTTCTATCCATATGAGGCTTTTGCTTAGTGGCTTGGACTTTAAAATGTTTCACTTATAAAATAAAAAATGTTCATAGAATGTTTTCAGATTGTTTATTACGGAGTAATAATTATGGAACTGATCCTTTTCACCATATCTTGCTGAAGACATTCAATTCACTTATCACGGTCATAAATCCTGTAGGTCAGCTGTGTGCGCATGTTGTCAGGTGAGCGAGTACTTACAGCTGCTCATGATGGAACCGTAAAAATGTGGGATGTGAGAACAGATACCTGTGTGGCTACCGTGGGTCGTTATTCAGGTGCTGTTCTCTGTATGGAATATGATGATTCAACAGGAATCTTGGCTGCTGCCGGCAGAGATACGTATGTTGCTTAGATTTTTCTACTGTTCAATTATGTATTTTTTCCTCTCTGAGACTTTTTATTATTTGTTTCTTCCTTTTACTGAGTTTGTATTTCTATATTTCTGTTACAAACAAAACCTGACCATCTATTAACTCTTGTTTGAAGGGTTGTGAATATTTGGGACATCCGTGCTGGAAGGCAGATGCACAAGCTAATGGGTCACACAAAATGGATCAGGTCAGCAAAGGACATGCAATATTTCATATCCAGTTATGTATCTCATTGATGGTTATTCGATAATAAATTTGTGAAACAGGTCAATTAGAATGGTGGGGGACACAGTTATTACAGGTAGTGATGATTGGACTGCACGGATGTGGTCTGTCTCCCGAGGGACATGTGATGCTGTTCTAGCTTGCCATGCTGGTCCAATCTTATGTGTGGAGTACTCTTTGCAAGATAAAGGGATAATAACAGGTTACTGATTTCTGGCTCACTTCTTGACCAAAGTCTATAAATAGATAATTTCTCAAGATTTTACTATGGTGGTGCAAAACCACACTTGCCAGATTCATCAAGATTACCTTCTAAGGTGCGATGATATCTTTTCAGGTTCAACTGATGGCCTTCTCCGGTTTTGGGAAAGTGATGATGGTATGAATGGCATAAATCTTTTCAGATTAATATCTTTAAGATTATGTTTCTGTTTTCAATTTACCCATCTTCTGCCTCTTCTATTGAACAGCATCAAACATAACAATGGTTATACATATACTTTTCCAAAAAGAAATAAGATGTTAAATGCTATTCTCGTCCCAACAGGGTTGTCCTGTGTCATTTTCAAAGGGTCAACGAAATCTAATTTTGACCAGTCATTTAAAACATACAGAGTAAGTTTTTAGAAGAGTTTTGATTCTTGAAATAAGTAATACATAATTTGTAGTTTCATAATATCTAATTTTTAATTTCACAAGTTCGAGTATTAAAAGAGAAGATTTAGTCAAATTGACCCTCAAAATAGTAAATGTGACAAACAAAATGGGACACACACAGTTATTGATAACCGGGTAGCATATCAATATATCTAATGCTGACCCACTTTTGGAAATTTCTTGCATGATTTTTCTGGCTTCATTGATAATTCTAATCTGCTGTTGGAGTTGAAGTATTTTATTTTTGCTTTTGCATAGTTAAAGGAGGTGCTTTGTTTATGTAAACTGTTGTTTGCCCTTTTGCTTTTCTGTGAGTTCTTTAAGGTTAAAAATGGTATTTCATAGTGAATTATGTCCTTTATTTCGTCCAACTCTCCAAGTAAAACATGTTAACTGCTATGTTTCATCGTTCATATTACATCTTAAAATAATTAATGCAATATGTTCTGTAATTAGTACTTAACGTTCTTCTTCTTGTTTTGATGTATAGGTGGTATAAGATGTGTGAAGAACGTTACTACTCATACTGGTTCCATATTATCCATAAATGCTGGAGAACACTGGCTAGGAGTTGGGGCAGCGGATAATTCAATGTCTCTCTTTCATCGACCTCAAGAGAGACTAGGTAATTTATCTGGGACTGGTTCCAAGATGGGTGGATGGCAGCTTTACAGGACTCCTCAGAAAACAGCTGCAATGGTTTGTTTCCAAGTCTTCACGAGAATTAGTAGTCTTACATTTCCAGTTTACCATAACGTGCTTTTATTTTTCCTTTCAACTCTTTACTTTGTGTGCTATCACAACTCGCTCCTTTTATTTAGCATCACTTATCGACTGCACGAGCCAGTAACTTTTGAACTGTTGTTATCCATTGCCAATTGATATTACCTTTTTTGTGTTTTTAGGTACGGTGTATCTCGTCAGACCTTGAAAGGAAAAGGATATGCAGTGGTGGACGGAACGGGTTGCTTAGGTTGTGGGATGCAACAATTAACATCTAAATTCTGCTTCCCAAATCGTGTATTTCAATGGATTTTTCACAGTTTTTCGTGTTACATATGTTATCTGCTACCTGTTTTGTATCCTTGTCACTCTCCCTCTCCTGCTAAAGGCTAATTTTGGAATCTTTGTAACGTAAATCCTTGATGTTTTTCTTTCCAAAGAAATTGCCAATAGTTTGAGGAAGTGTTTTAAAGTTGGATTAGGAGATTTCTGTGATTGTTGCCACAAATGGTTAGCACCATTAATATACAAAACATCATAATATATTGTTCTACTATAGATATACATGAAGTTTTTGACATTCTGCGGAATTCACAACTTTGATAAACAATGTTTTTTGGCTGTGAGTAATTGCACTCATTTTGTATGTTAAGTTGTTAACACTGTATTTAAATGAAGATATTTGACATATCAATATTTATTGTGTTATACATAATTGAAACTTTTTTTTGGTCAATTTATAGATTTTTGGACGGATAGATGAAATAACAAGGACTTTGACCCCCAAGGACCCTTGTAGGTAGGCAGTTTATTAAGAAACAATATATGCTGTATGAACAGCATCTGCCCAGAAAACTTTAGGGATTTTCATTTGAAACAACAAGGCCCTAGCAACCTCCAACAGATGGCGATTCTTATGTTCTGCCACACCATTTTGTTGGGGAGTGCTGACACAAGACGATTGATGTACCATCCCATTTTGACTCATATAACTCGAGAAGGAACGAGAAAAATACTCAGTCCCATTATCACTCCGCAAAACCTGTACCATTTTATTGAACTGAGTTTTGACCATCGCACAGAAATTACAAAAGATCCAAAACAACTCATCTCTAGATTTCATGAGGTATAGCCAAGTGTGTCTAGAGAAATCATCTACAAAAGTTACAAAATATTTAAACCTAGATTTTGATACTACTCGACATGGACCCCATATATCTGAGTGAACCAATTGAAATAAAGACTCGACTCTATTATTGACTCTAGGAGGGTATGGTACTCGACAGTGCTTAGCAAGCTCGCATGACTCACATTGCAAGCTCGACAAAGATTCTAACCCCGGACACAACTTCTTTAAGACAGACAAAGGCGGGTGACCATACCGGGAGTGCAACTGCAACGGAGACATACTTCCCAATAAACCAACCGGAACACCTCATTTCAGAATCTTCGGATAGCCGTTCTAACACGTACAGCCCACCGACCTCCTTCCCTTTACCAATAATCGTCTTCGTCAACAGATCCTGAAACAGACAATATCCAGGGAAGAACATGACACAACAATTTAGGTTCCAGGTAATTTGACTAATTGACAATAAATTGAATGGGAACTTTGGGAGATATAACACAGAAGTGAGAGGTAACGGCGAACTAACATTCACACTACCTTTACCTAAAACAGAGGTGGACGAACCATCTGCTAAGGTAACCGTAGGACCACATTTAAAAGAACAATATTCGGAAAACATACTTAGATTACCTGACATGTGGTCACTGGCTCCAGAATCAATGACCCACTGTCGAGACGAGGAGGAAACACAAGCAATAGGATTACCTGTTTGAACAAAGGTAGTTGAAGGAGACGGCAATGACCCTGGACTAGCGGGAGACTGCGAGGAAGACAGCTTTAACTGATTAAACAAAACCAATTCTTCTTCAGTTATCATAACTGTCCCTTCTGGTCTAGAGGCAGAATTAGCAAATCTCCTATGGTCGGAGAGCTGTGGGCATTGGTTGCGCAGATGACCGGGATCACCACAATTATAGCAAGCCCTTTGCCCTCGACCTCCTCCGCGCCCTCTACCTCGTCCCCTGAACCGACCTCCTCGAATATTGGCACTATCAGTCCCACTATCTCCCTGTGAGAAAAAGACTTGTTTCTCCAACGTACCATCAGTACCAAGGTTCACTGACGCATTTTGAACCATAGAAAAAACTTGGTCGAGCGAGTCTAATTCCTTATTCCCCAATAATTGTGATTTCAAAACATCATACTCCTTATCCAACCCAGAAATCCAACTAAAAATATGCAACTGATCACGTTGTTTTTTCATTTTATCCACTTCATCAGTAATCGGCATAGCAGCTCACAATGCCTCACTCACATTCTTAAAGTCATAATAGTAATCCCTGATGTCCCGCCCTTTTTGAGACGATCGATGAACATCCTGGGATAACTGATATAACTTCCTCAAATTATTTGCCCCACTAAACCACTTATTCACTAAATCCCACACTTCCTTCGCACTCTTACAGTGCTGTAAAGATAGGATTATTTTCCTATCAATACAATTTATTATACGCAAAAACAGGGTGTCATCATCTTTCTGCCACGCTTGGGCTTCGGTAGGGTCCACCGGACATGTTTCAGTTAAATGTCCAGCTTTACCCATACCCTTCAAGTTCACTTCAACTAAGAACTTCCATTCCCCAAAATTGGACCCATCAGGTGCCAACACCAAATCAACCAATTTAGATTGAGTTGACACCATAGTAATAGTCCTATTTTCTGCCATAATAAACACACACAAGAACCAACCTGGAAGTGCAGACTTCACTTCTACGCAGAAGACAAACCCAATCTGGCAGCAAACCCACGCAGCAGAATCACGCAACAAAGACAGATCTGAAAAATGCAGCCCACGCCAAACCCCCTCAACACCTGATGAGGATACTACTACAGGAGTGTTGGGCGCACAGAGACGAAACTAGCCGCGTCGGCGGCGACCGGAGGCGAGGTCGGGAAACGGCGCACGCGCCGGCGCGTGGCGTCGGAGCCCCAGAAGTGTGGCGGCGCGTGAGTCTTCCGACGGCTGCTCCGTTCCTCCCGGCGGCGGCGCCTCCTCGTTCCAACCAAAGCCCACTACCCACATCTACCGCTCTGATACCATATTGAACTCTAAGTAGTGAAGTGTGTATATTGAAATAGAGAATGGAATCGAATAAATGAGTACAGGGAAACCTACACATATATACAAGCTAATAGGAAACCCCAGCCACTTATTTTAAGATTCAAATGGGTAGCTAGGAGTATTCTTCTAACAACCTTCTAATAATTAGGATGTTATGAACCAAGGAGGTTGATCTGTGTTATTTTCCTTTGTCATTTTCCATTTATTATTTTTGCAGTTGTTTTGTTGTTATCTGCTGCTGAATACATACATCTGTTATATTCCATCTTTATCTTCCTTATTTATAGGAGTTTGTTAGGATAGGCTATAAGATAGAGTCGAATGTATTGGGCGGATAGGATTATGAAATAGGATGGATGAAATTATATTTTCTTCTTCACTCTTCTCTGCAACTCTCTGGAATTCTCTTCTTCCCTTTCTTGTTCTTTCCCTTCCCTTCTTTCTACAAATATCAGTCCTTTCTTCACCTAAATTTCTGCTTAAGCCCTTAGATCATCACATTTGGTATCAGAGCCCCTTTCCTGAGCAGAAATGGTGACCAACAAAGATAGATTCAAAGCACTACAAGAAAAACAAACCGAGTTTGAAAAAAAGTTGGAGGCCACAATACAGGAAGTGCAAGCTTCCAGACAAGAAGCAAGAACAAACTCAGATAGTATGATGAAAGCCTTGGCAGACATGAGGGCTGAAATGATGGAGTTATTCCGCCTCAATAGGCCTACAACACCAGTAATGGAAACACCTCCTAATGGTTCCACAGTTCAGGGGAGAGGAAATGTGACCCCCACCACACAAAACTCTTCTATTCCAGTCACGGGGGAATGCAGTCAGGAGCAGGAAAGAAGACAAATCAGAACAGCTAATCCCCAACCTCATGCTCCAAACCCTACTATTGCCCAAGGAGAACCATTCCCTGAGTTTCAAAACCATGGCCCAAGACCAAGGATTGACTTCCCAGATTTTGACTACTTAAATCCCAGGTTGTGGATAAGGAGGGTGGAAAGGTATTTCATGATCTCTCAAACCCCACCAGCCCTTTATTTAGATTATTTCCTTGTGCTCACAGGCATTTGGCCCTGTCTACTAACCCATTGAGTCACCGTGATTTACATCCTCCCACATGCTTTGTCGGGTCGGAGTGTGGGGTGCCCTTAGGGTTGGGGATTCAGCCTTTTGGGGTAAGATTATTTAACATTAAATCTGTTTGGGAAAGTAGGAGTCTGGCTTGAAGGTTATTTAAACAATATGATAGGTGGATTTAACTTGGGACACTTTGTAGAAGCTATTTGTAGAAGGTTTAGCCTTGGCACTGCTTCTATAGATTAAAAATTCACCATTTTTAAACAGTCAGGGAGTGTGGAAGAATTCACTGATAAATTTGAAGGGATGAGAAGCATTTTGCTCCAAGTGAGGCCTTATTTAACAGAAGAATATTTTTTAGAAAATTATGTGTGCAGGCTTAGACAAGCTATCAGGTGCTTTGTGAGGTCAGCTAAACTAGAAAATTTTGAGGAGGCCATTTGGCTAGCCATGCATTTTGAACAAGGGATGAAGGCCCCAGACTTCTTCCCTGAGCTGCCGTATCGACAGAGAAACCAAACCGCGAATCCTAATGGCACTCCTAGATTGCTACCACCACATGGGCAGGAAGGGTCTACTAACACAATGGATATGAGGAACAACTCTGAGATGGATAGATTGAGGGGCCAAAAACTATGCTTCAATTGCAAAGAAAGGTGGCAGTATGGTCATAAGTGTAAGCCCAAACCTTCCATTGCTGCAATAGAAGGAATAGATGAGAATAATGAATGGCAAAAACAGGATGAAGCAAAGCCACAATAAACAGAAGTGAGGTCTAAAGAGGTTGGAGTATTGTAACACCCCGAAATTTCAAAAACTTTTAAAGACTATGTAACAAAGGTAAATGATCATAAATCCCAAAATGCTTATAAGAATACGGAGTGTTATGCCACACCCGAGCTAGAGAACTCAGGTGCACAGGCTAAATTCTAAAACCTCAATCAGTATCAATACAAAATCATGGCACGCAGGCCGAAAGGGAAAACTATCTAATCTACGCCCAAGCTTCTAGCGCGCTTCAGTGATCTACTCGTCTGTGCCTGAAAGCTAAATATATCTGTTCAGCGAGAGATGCTGGTAACCCACTCCAACGCGTTGAAATACAATACATATAGATATACGAAAAACCATTTCGAAGCATGAAGATGTATCCTAAGAGACTCTACCTTTCAAAACAGGGAATAGACTCGACAGATAGGGATACGCACAGTCAACAGTTATACCAAGCATATACAGTTTTCCAGCATAAAGAACAGGCACGATAGATAGAGACAAGCACATAACCAAGCATATACAGTTGCTAGCATAAATCCTATAGTCACGTTCTCAAAACACACATAACAACACCTTATCCATATCTCATCACATAAGCACACTTTGTTGGCGCCACAGGACCAATCGCATGCCCATACATGAGGGTCAGCGCATATAGCTCTGACACGGCCCCGCAGCACCCTGCCCCGTATCGCAACACGGAGGGGTCGATCGCAACCGACCGATGAACCGCAGCTCATCATAGTTTGATCGCAACCAAACAGTGGACCGCAGCCCAAGAGTATGTCATCTGACCGCAGCCAGGAAATATGAACCGCAGCTCATGTAGAAACGTTTGATCGCAACCAAACGGTGGACCGCAGCCCAAGAGTGTAAATCTGACCGCAGCCAGCTTCTGAACCTCAGCTCAGGAATAACCAATCCGATCGCAACCGGATTGGGGTATCATGCACACATAACACATAGCAAGCACATGCAACCCACATTAACACATTGGGAAGGGGGGGGGGGGGGGGAACGTATAACAAAACCTATGCGTGATCCTTCACATGCTAAGGATAATCCTAAGGGGAGCACCTGGGTTCAACGGGATACCAATTCATCTAGCATGCAATATATAAGACTCGTACAACCTACGAACGGTACCCGAAATATCAAACTAGACAAAGGCACGATAGACGGAGTCCGTTGGGACGCCATGGGGATCGAGGGAACATCAAACGGGGAAGCCGGAATCCCATAGTAGGGTATTTTCCAGCGGGTAGGCGGTGGGTGAGGGTTCACCCGCCGGCTGCCCGCCGGTGGCGTAACTCCGGGCAACGGGTGCCCGGCGGGCAGCTGCCCAGCTGCCAGCTGCCCGCTGCCGGCGTTGCCCATGTTGGCCACGGGTAGGTGGCGGGTCCCCTACCCCCACCTACCCCCCACTGACTCTTTTTCACCAAAAACGCCCCGGGAACCTTTGTGGAACCCGAAACCATGCTTAGACACTTTCAAACGCAATTGACAACAATATGTAGACAATTAATGGATTTAAAAGCAAGAACATACGTCACATAACCTATCATGCTTTTCTAAACATAATCAACACCCAAACATACGAATTCCCACCCAATATACTAAGAATAATACCATACGAGTTCCACGATACAACCTAGGGTTCTAATTACTTTTAATTCAACAAGAGCACAATTCATCTTCTAATATTAAGATTCGGTAAGAATATCACATAAACATCAAGAACATCATATAATCATCAAGAATATCAAGAACACCATATAATCATCAAGAATATCAAGAACACCATATAATCATCAAGAACCTTTCATCATCAAGATTATCCATGGAATCATAATACCAATTACCAGGATCAATATAACGAATCATCAACACACAAGCATATGGGGGAAATCCTAAGAGGGGAATCATAGCTATGAAAATAGGTTTTGTTGAGACATGGGTTACCTCTTAGCCTTAATTAATTCCTTGGCTATGAAGGGTCTTTCTTTAAGCTTTCTTCTTTCTTGATTTCTCCTAGGGGAATTCTTGGTGTAGTGAGAGATTATTGTGGTGGGGGTTCTAGGTGCCTCCTATGTCCCCTATTTATATATCTAAGAGTCCTAATTAGGGCCCAAATACTATAGGCTTGTTAACTTTATTCCTTTTAGGACTAGGGGTTGGGTTTAGAGAAGAGGGCCCACGGACTATGGTGGGCCTTTTCCTAATTAATTATTGTAATTTAATTCTTTCTTTTGGGCAATTGGTCAAATGATTGATTGGTCTTAGGGGTCGTAACACGGGGTGTTACAAGTATCCTG